TGTCAACCTGGGTAAAGCTGCTGCAGCAAATTTAAGCAGATCATTCCACCTGACCTATTAGGACGTGTCACCTAGACAAATGAAATTTGTTTAGTTAGACTTTCTTCCATTCACATCTTCATGCACAATAACCACAGTTGTCTAAAAGGATAAACACATCCCCTGTGTGTCTGTTGGAGCTTGAAATCGTTTTAATGTTGAATTTGACCAGAAATCTGAACCACTGAAGCAGAAAACTCTTGCTATGATCATTCACACCTAACAATAAAAATCTTATTTTGAAACTCTTGAGGCGTTTAGTTATGTAGCAAAAGTTGTAAGTGACCCATAAGTTGTTTTTAGTGACTTATGGGTTAAGTCACTAAATATCTTAACCCATAAAAAGGCACAGCCATACAGAGTAAGTATTGTTTCTTTACTGCATAAATTTATTTAAATAAAAATAAAAAAAAAGGTTTTTTTTTTTGCTGGAAAAGGGAAATTCAGTAGAGTTGGGCATTTGAATATATTTAATGCAAATAATTAATGTAGGTATGCAGATTAACAAAATCGTGCATAACTGGGTATAATCTGCACCCCTAGATGGTGCTTCTAATATAACTTTGTGTAGAATATGCATCAGCAGGCATTAGTGGTGTACAAACAGTACCTTCCTCTGTGATAGCCAACAGGTAATCATGATTAAGCATCCTGCCATAGACCTCAGCCTCTTATTTGAAAATAGAGCTTTTTACAGTACACTATCACAGTGGATGAGAGTGAGACAGACAGACAGACAGACAGACAGACAGACAGACAGACAGACAGACAGACAGACAGACAGACAGACAGACAGACAGACAGACAGAGCTATTGTTGGTATTTATACAGTCTTGGAGTGATTTTGGTAGGCCAGTCTGCAATTGTCCTATGATTTCTCCATTTCGGATAATGACTCTCATTGTGTTTTGCCGTAGTCCCAAAGTCTTAGACTTGAATGTCTTTAGATTGGAGCGTGATGTGTTACGTTTTACGATCTACTTTGTCTCCTTGATGTTAATTCGATTCCTTGATTAGACAGTTCAAACAGTAATCAGGAATGGGTGTGAAAACTTATTGAGAATGATTTTAGTATGGTCAATTTAGGGTTTAACATTTGCATATAATTTTGAAAAAATTATTCTGCAACCCCACAAAATATATAATTGTCCTTGCTGATTTTGAGCACAAAATGAGCACAATAACAATATGACAGGATGTTGGGGCCAGAGTTAGTATGCACATTCTTGTAGTCAATTCACTTCATTTAAAATCACCCTGACCCTCTGTGTATTGTCCTAATTTCATTACGAGAGTCATTGTTATATATATATATATAAAAAAAGAAAGTACAGGGAGTGGCTTTGACATTTGCTAAAAATCAGTGTTTCCATGGCAGCCTGGTCAAATTAAGCAGTGCAGATCAGTTATTCAGATTTTCTCGGAGGTGGAAAAGCAAATCAATTACCCTCGTGTGTGTTTAAGGAAATACTGTGGACATTTTAACCTTTATTGAAAAGGTTTTGGCACAGAAAGACAAACGGAGAGATTGCCATCTGGAACCATTTAAGCTTCAGTCATGTGGTAGGCAATATTATATAACAGAAAATGTGTCATGTTTAATGAGTTTAAAGTAGAGGCACTCCGCAGACAAGTACCAGGAATAAGCAGAGTAAAAGGCTTTATTTATAAAGGTAACAAGAAACCTGCATATAATGCACAAGGGAAACATAATATGGAGCGTGGGCAGCGTAATGCAGGGAACAAGGCAAATAATAATGAAAACCAGTGAGCTTATGCTGGGGGAAGGATGGAGAATGACACAGGGACTTGTTGAGCAAAAAAAGGGGAAATTTCTGATGAGCTGTTGATGCAAACCAAACAGGCAGACTGAGGGAAAATGACTATTCCATTGGTAAAAATTTAATTTAAGTATTAAATTAAAGGATTTAAATATTGGCTTTAATTAAAGTGCAAAATATAATGCTTCCACCATCTTAGTCAAACAAAACCCTTTTCAATGAGGTTATTTGAACTTAAAAAAAATCCAACAGAACAAGGGGTGCTGCGCCTTTTTAAACAACTGTATGTGTGCGTGTTTCGTCTGCCTCTTTATTTCTCTCTACCTGTACCTGTCTCCCTGTCTCTCTCCTCTCAGTTCATCCTGGGGTCGGGTCCCACCCGACTGTCTCGGCTCTATCAGCCCTTCAATGGCTTGTCTGCAGTTCAAGGAGAGGGCAGTCAGAGACCTGATCCATCATTACGCTGAAATATCACCACTTAAACTCCTCACACTGTAGATGGTCCCATTGTCGTTCTTTCCCCTCACATTTGCTGGCTTGTCCAGTTTAGAGTCACTTCACTGAGCAGGGAGCGCCAGTGATGGACACACACAGACACAGAGACTCAAAGGAACACACGCACACGCACACACACCAGCATCAGAAAACTCCCTGGTCTCTGGCTGTCTGTTTCCACTGCTCTGTGATGGTTGACAGCTTGAGAGCACTCCGCCGCCACCTGACTTACACCAGTGTATTCTTGTACATTTCTTCAGGTTGTCTAAATTTTTCAAACTTTCGTGTGTTTCATATGGATTAATCTAATTTTGAGTTGAAACATTTTATTCCTTGTTAACTTGAAAGATATAATCAGTTTTGGATGTCAATAATGCATTAGATTTGTGCTTTAATAATTTCCTAAGGTGTAAGTTTGACTGTGGCCGCAGGTTGTGCAAATCACCACTTTTCCTCCCTGTTTAACATGGTAAATAAATTGCCATTAAATCTGCAGAACGAGGCTTAATGACAACTTCAGCTGAAATACCATATATTCTTTGAATAAAGGTGCATCAGCCTAAACATTTAGAGATTTAACTATCAAACCAACAATGCATTCATCAAAATCGCATCAGTCAGTTTATCTTACTTAATAACCAAACAGTTCTTGGGGGTCAAGTGTTTATTTTGTTCTTATTCTTCCCTTCATGTACTGATTACATTGTCTCAATACAGACTAGAGATGGAAAGGAGGGGTTTTAATTGTGCAAAGTAAATCACTTAGTTCTTTTAATATTCATTTTGTAAACGAATCTAGAATTGCCTTTCAAAAAGTCAACTGTCATGCATGCAAACAACAACTAAAGTCCTGAAAGCTGTACTGAAGGAGAATAATATAATATAATATAATATAATATAATATAATAAAATATAATATAAAATAATAAAATATAATATAATATAATATAATATAATATAATATAAATAAGCTGTCATGGAAACTCATAATGAAAAGTTTATTTTTTCAGCCTGTAAGGCGCTCTTGAGTCCAAGTCGCATCAGTCAGAAAATACGTCATGAAGATGAGAAAAACATAAGCCACATTTATTTAGAAATCATCAATCATGTGGGGGACCTTGACCATCTTAACGATATGACCCAGTAACATGTTGTGTTCAGTCAACAGCTTTTCAGTAACATGCGGAAAGTGAGAAAGTCTGCTGGCAGTGTGTGTGTTTTAAATCAGAGTGAAGCCAGAAGGCTTCACTCTGCTGGTGAAGTACGCATCTGAGCAGAGACGCATGCAGTGTAAATCCAGAGTGAATCAGAGCATAAAGACGTAACTGCATTGATCACAAGCTTTAGCTTGTACAATTTAAACTAGCCAATTTAAGTATACATCAGTATACAAAGGTTTGTTTGCAGGCAAATGGAAGTGGGAAGAGATGAAATAGTAATTTTTGGGTAACAAATAAGGTGCACATTGTTCAGTTGGTGAACTGACCTGAAGTTTAATGAAACTGTTTAAGTTTGATTCTTCACAATAAAGCAGCAGAAAGAACAAAAAAAAATGTTAAAAGCTTTGTTTTTAAGTATGATCATACAGTTTTACAACATAAGCTGTTTACTGCATAGTTGTTACAAATGTTAAAAAGCCATTCTGCTATTATCTAAATAGATACATAAATGAATAAATCTTTATTGTGAATGTTTTTGCTTTGCTGATATGTTTGAACTTATTTCATATCAGCTGCGCGACATGCTCAAATTTAGCACATGTTCCATTTTCTATTTTTGTTATCTTCTTCAGACGACTTTCCTCACAGCGGTGCATGTTTGCTGATTTACCCTAGAGCACATGTCAGTAAAACTATCAGTCACGGCTTCTGAAACAATCAAACTCTGCCAAAAGCTAAGCATAAGCAGCCTCGCCAGAGCCGGTGCTCATGCGAAAAACAAAGTAAAGCTGGTGCACCTTTACTTTTATGGTCAATAAAGCTCTTATTGATCCTAACTTTGATGTGCTCTGTTATGCCTCCAGGAGAGCCAGACACACAGTGAGCTTTGTCCTTTCTCTCACTGGTTTGTTGTGAAAACTACAGGGAGGGAAGTGGCGGTTTAGACTCTCGAGGCTGTCCCCGGATGGTGGGCTCTGAAAAGCACTGAACTGTCTGCAGAATATACCTTGAAGGATGTGAAATATTCTCCTCTTTTGTGCTGTTCTTTTTTTCCTTTAATCTCACCATCTCACTCTCTCTCTCACCAGATTGTATCAGGATAGACTGTAATCTCAGTAAGTGTCTCCTATGATTATCTTTTGTTCCATGATTTAGAGAACATGCACTGTGATATATTTATGTGCTTCTTTCCCTTTTTTTCCCCCTTCATGAAACAGAACATTCGTCTTGTTTACTGTTGCTGCTGTTTCTCTGAAGTACCATTACAGATAACAGCAAAAATGAGACCTTTATTCACTGAACAGCTGCACAGCTAAATGTAATTAGATCCCTTTGTGCTTTGCTCAGAAAACCTAACAATATAGTTACATGTTTTCTAATTATTTTAGCTCCATAATGCGGTAATCAAATGTAGCTAAATTTGACATACACTAGTCCGCTGCCACTGAGTCGGTTATTTGTTTGCATTTTGCTAATTGGCTCTCATGCCAGACAAATGGGTTTTAGCCTAAGAATAATTTGCAGGTTTTTTTTAGATCTAAGACTTAAAGAAGCAGAAGTGAAGATAGCATTTTAAGAGTAGAGACAATCATACTTTAAGGATGTTTCAATCAGGAATTGGTGTGACATCATGCAAACCTGTAAAGTGCAGGTTTGCATGATTCTACATTAGAATTGCAACATCAGAACTGCCTTTATATGCTGCATCAACATAAGATTAGCTTGGATAAACTAGCTTAAGACTGATATTGATATTTAAAGAATAACTGATCACATGCGATGCACCAGCCACAGGTTCTGAGATTTGCCAGAATCTTATTTAAAAGTGTCTTGATTGTAAGCCCAGCTAATTATTGGGACTCTATTAATGTACAATATATCCTACATGTTACCCGGCAGTAAGTAATACTCAGTAAAATGAGAATCAGAGCAACAACAAAAATGTTCTTAATGACGTCTTAATGATGATTAGAGTGAAATATTTCCATCTAACATTCATAAGGAATTTTAATGGCATATTTCAACAAGCATTTTATTTTCCTGATAATGACGCGTAGATTAATTCTGGACATAAGTTTTTTTTTTCTAAATAAATGAATTAGAATAAAAATCAATAAAAGAATGCACCGTTTAAGTCTTTCAAAAGCAGCGAGGCATCAAAAGAAGACCTTCTGTTAGATCAACACAATCGATTTTCTGGAATTCAGTCCAATGAAATGGAGCGGTATTCTATATCTCAGCACGGTCAAATACATGATGAAGATTGTGGTGCTCAACAGATAGCAAGAGGCAGGCAATTTAGGCTCTGCCTGAGATAGCAGCAGTGTTAGAAGCAGATAAAATGTATCACCAGGAAAGCTGCGAACATGCTTTATGTAGACGCTGGGAAGAGTTACTTCTGCAATGCAGGTTGTTTGCAACCTCTGTGTTTGAATAATTTCGGATTATTTTTTGAATAAAATGTCTAAATGTTCCATTTCTCAGTGATCTACAGGATTAGTGTGTGTTATTATGCATTTCTTATTACATGAAATGAAAACCCTAATCACAGCAGTTTTTATTAGACTCGCAAATGCAACATTTACTGTTCATTGAGACCTGGTCTCAGCCTGTAATCCTGTTAATTTATTAGTTGGAGATGAAGCTTTAGCGTCTTTGAAAGGCAGATAAGGGCACATTTGCAACAGATTTATTGCACATCTGTAAGACTAATCTGCTGCCCCCTCTGTTCAATTGATTGCACTTTCTTTATCTGATCAAGGTAAGTGGAGGGAATGTTTATGTATGTGTATGAATAGTTATCTTAAAGGTATTTTTTAAAAGATTTCCTGCACCTCATAGAAAATTGTAATATAACAAAAAATGTTAAATTGAATAAAGTGAGCAGTTATCCCTCTTTCCTCTTACTGTCTGGGTTTTAAAAAAAAGTCCCAATGTGTGCCAGCAGATGGCAATGCACTTTCACATATTGATCATAGAACATATGTCTCGTATGTGTGTAATTAAATGGCTTCCAGATATTTTTTAAAAAATGATGGTGTATGCAAAAGCCTAATCGACAGATGTGACAAAAGAGGCTTTTATAGATGCTGAACCAAGCATGCACCAAACCTCTGAGCGAATTAAAAATATATCTACTCTTAATTTCATGGAGTACATAAAAAAATAAAAAATAAAAAAAAAATTCCGAGGTTGATAATTGAGATATTTGATGTATAATTGTGACAGAACCAGAGAAGGAGCTTCTCTGCAGAGAGTTCCTCGAAACCATCCATCACTGGATGCACACAGGGAGGGTAAAAGTTGGTTTAACAAATCCTGTTAAAGTGCCCTTGATTAATTCTTGTATAACCACAGAATAATGGGCCTCTAGATGCTTATGAAGTAAGATGCACCAAATTACAAAATGACTATAACACGCTTCGATTAGCATGCACGTCACGCACGGCTGGGTCTCGGCGCGCTCGCAGGGATGACCTGTATAGCTGCGGCGGCACCTTTGAAGTCGTCTTTGTTTGAGAGTATTAATCAAATTCAATTTTAAGTGAGGATCAAACTGGACAAAACAGACTCCTTGCATGGGCGGCTGGGGCCTGAGCTTCTGGAAGAAGAGCTTGTGAAGTGGAGGAGCTTTGAAAGGAAGCCAGATTTCTAAGAGTTTACGGTCAGATGCCTGGAAGAATATACATCACAGTCCACCATCTCAATACCTCCTGCTGAATCAGAGATGGATCTTTTATAAGAATGTACTTTTATTATATTTATTATATGCAGCTCATTTATAATTACTCATACACAAAGTTCATAGGATGTTTAGCTTGCAACTATTAATTCATTTTTTTTTCTTTAAAGAATATCTCTTTAGAATTTGTTTTAAACTGATGAAGGACAAAAAAGCAATCAGGTGAATTTGCTGCAGCATCAAACTTATCGTCGAAACACAAATTTCAGGTATGGATCAATAACTGAGGACGAATAAACTGATTTTCAGTCGCAACATAATTTTTGTGTATGTGATAAACCACACAATGGGGTTTCAGCCCAAATACACAGACGGATCAGGATGGCCTTTGATAATATGCAGTAGATACAGATGCTTTTAAAGTTTAAAATCAATTGATGCACTAAGATGTGAAAGAAATATATAGAGGACAATGTTTAATTAATAGAGTTTCATTCATCAAACATTTTTCATCTGAGTTCTTCACTAAATTCTTAATCACAGATAAAATAGCAAGACAATCACTGCATTAATGTAAAATAATTAGAATCAAACTATGGCTTTTTTTTGTTAATTTCCATTGTATTTCTGCTTTTTTATTTAGATAATACATTTTCTCACATCTGGAAACACTGCAAGTTGAGCATATGTTTGTTTTTTTTAAGGATCCAACACTATGTATACAATATAGTAATGCAATAAAGTGTAAGTGTATTTTATGTTTCAATCAGAAAAATAGTTAGCACCAAAATTATTCATTCCTTTGACAGATTCGGGTTAAAAATAATTTAATGAACATGTTTCTTCTGAATAAAAGAACTTTAAAGTTTTGTGGCGGAGCAACCAGAGTCCAGACTTGTCTCTGACGGAGAATCAACAGATGGAGCAAAACATTAGAGTGATGGCAAGGAGGCCTTCCAACCTTAAATACTCTTTAACCCTCCTGTTGTCCTCGGGTCATTTTGATCCGAGGACAACAGGAGGATTTAAAATACCAGTGGAAATTTTCAAAAAGCTGGTCAGAAACCATAAGAAGAGTTTCTGATTGCTGTAATGCCATTTTGTTTGTGCTGATTACTGCTAATTATTGAGAATGCTTTTAAAAATTTTGGACATGCTGTACTCTTGTAAAATGCAAGGAAAAATAGATGTTGGTAGTAGCCCGGATAATTCTAACATAGGAAGGAATCAAAACAACTATTTCAACAGTTTTAAAGATATAAATGAAATAATTAAAGCTGAAAGCATCCCCGTGCAGCTCATTTTTAGAAAAACTTTCTACAGAAGATCATTCACCACAGAAATATTCAGTGGATAAATTAATGTCATCAGTTTACCATATTAATGTTTGCTCATGTAAGTCACTAAATCTGCCTTAGCTGCTCTGTGATAGAGTTTAAATTTGATTAGTGTGAGGAAATTTTAATGCCGAGGTGGATTTTGTCAAAGTTCGACGTGTAAATTGTCAAAATTCCTCAAAAATGATCTGTTAAAAATGGCCTGAGGGAGGAAGTGCCTGTTGGAGTCAATAATACTCCATTCTTGACTGAAATTGAAATCCTAAAGTTTTCTGCTGCAAGGCAACTGTGGTTTATATGTAAGCAATAAGTAATTGTACTGAACTGTGGTGACCTTAGTGTATGCTCATTGCACAAAACTCCACTGTTGAAGAAACAGATTGCTGAAACTCATTCAAAGTTTCCCAAAGGAAATTTTGAAAATGTAACATACATCAAAAGTAAAGTAAAGAATAGATTAGATTAAAAGGTATCTCTTTAAATGCCAGTGCACACACAATATTTAGATAATAGATCGCACGGCACACCACAGTAAAAAACATCAACAGTGAGGTTTGAATCTGAGACTACCACGATGGGGAGTAGTTTTTAGCAGGCTACTGGCAAGCTTCATATCGAATGAAGGATCAATGGAGAAATGTACCGGGACCTTCTTAATAAGAAACTGAAGAAGAAACGACGGTGGATTTTTCAGCAAGAGAATGATCCTGAGCACACAGCCAAGGAAACTCTCAAATGATTTCTGAGACAAAAAAATAAAGCTCCTTGAAGATTAGATGTCATAGAAGAGGCCCCCAGAAGCTTTAAAGGTTGGAAGACAGTAATGTGGAAGAATATTTCAAACTCAAACCTAAGAAATGCAAATGATTTACACACAAGATGACTTGAAGTTGTAATTACTCTAAAAAGCATTGGAAAAAAATGTCCGTGATCATGTTCCATTCCGCTTTATTACACATAATTTAGTGGACCGAGTTGTCTACATTTCTACATTTATGGAGATCACTCGTGTAAGTTTCTGAGGAAAACATTTGTTTATTCAATGTTTATTTTTCCTACTGTATAAGTCATTACCTCTCTGGCCCAAACTTTCTAGAAGTAACATTTTTTTCTGTGTTGGTATTCGTGTATTTGGCCTTAGATGTTTAGATAGCAGCAAAGCTCCCCTTCTGAGCAGCACAGATTAGATGAACAGCCTCCTCTACCCTTCGTCCTGCAAACTCCTATTTCATTACAGCAAATCCTGCCCGTATGTCTGATTTCATGATAGTGATCCACAAGGTAAACATTTCTGCCTTTTCAGCTCTACTTGACTCCGCACAGTGGTTTGTTTTTCCACATCTAAGTAAGTCCATTGAATGCAAAGGATGCAGGATTTGATGTTATTGATCCACTCCGAGTGCGTAGTCAATATTCAGTCCGTGTCATGCGATGTGCTACGTGGAGACACTTAATTTGCAGCCGGACAAGGTCTCCAGGCATGGGTTTTATTTCCCAGAGGATGAAACAGTGTATTGTTCGGAAACCAGCTGATGTTTTTCATTTATTGCCCTCTATGCGTCCCTTGTAATTCTCCTGCGCCCTGAGCACAATTAGACAGACAAACCCCTCAAGGCAAAGTCAGCTTAGGCATGGCCAATTAGTTTCCCAAGCGATGTCAGAACTCCTTTGAACTGCCGTGTCCGCCTGTTGCATAGGCGCTGATTCGGGTTGACGGTACTGCAGTGGCAAGCCTCTGCACTGTGACCTATTTTTAAACCAGTGAAAAATGCAGAGGATAGTGAAGAAAATCTGAAACTTGAATTTATATGAGTGAGCCAGGGCCTTCACTGTAAGCCAACACAGCTTTTCAGCAGAGATCACACAAATGGCTCAACACACGTTAAATATTTAGCCTGGAAATGACTGTGCTGTAGGTGTTTTGTTCTTAGTTTTACTTTGAAAAGGAGGTGAATTTAAATTATTGCTTTCTCCTGAATCTTTCTGCTGTATGTGTGAGTGATAAGTAAATGGATGTATTCACCCTGTAAGTGCTTCTCAAGTTTGAGTGCTCGTGTGAAAAGATACTGCGCCCCTGTGATATGATTGTCACTTGACGCTTTCCTCCTCTTAGGCAAGGGACCAGAGACTCTTCTTGTAGGCGAGAAGCTGAATGACAACGAGTGGCACACAGTGAAGGTGGCACGACGTGGGAAGAACTTGCAGCTATCGGTAGACAATGTGACAATGGAAGGTAGAGAGATGAGAAAAAGAAACGTGGCCTATCAAAAGTGTTTTAGCAGCTCACGATAAATGGGTTTGTTCTCTAGGCCACATGACTGGTGCCCACACCCGCCTGGAGTTCAACAACATCGAGACAGGAATCATGACAGAGCGCCGCTTCATCTCAGTGATGCCCTCCAATTTCATCGGCCACTTGCAAGCGCTCTCCTTCAATGGGATGCTCTATCTGGACCAGTGCAAGAATGGAGACATTTCCTTCTGCGAGCTTAATGCTCGGTTTGGCATGAGACACATTGTGGCCAACCCCGTAACTTTCCTAACTCAAGGCAGCTATTTGGCCTTTTCGACCTTGCAGGCCTACGCTTCCATGCACCTCTTTTTCCAGTTTAAAACCAGCAGTGCGGATGGCCTGATACTGTATAACTCCGGAGACGGCAGTGACTTCATCGTGGTGGAGCTTGTCAAAGGGTGAGCGATGGGATATTTTATACATCATGTTATGTGTCTTCCAGGGATATAATGCCATTTTTATAGCAAACTGTATCACAAAAATGCTATATATTAAACAAAATTTAACTGTACGATGTAAGAAACTTGGCTTAGCAATTTAATACTTTGAAATTGGCCTCTGTCTCTTTATGAAGCTCCCAATCTTATATAGGCAGCACTTTGTATGAATGCCAGAATAGCTGCCACAAGAGAGTCAAGGATTCTTCAAGCATGCCTGAGAAATTCAAAGCAACACTTCAGGTTTGTTTTTGATGAGGGAATAACATAATACATGATATAAAACTCAAAGCCGATTTTACGTAACACTCCTCTTTAAAGTCTGACTTTTACATACAGTATGCATGAATGTCATGTTGATTGAAAGGTTTTTTTTTTATCAATTAATCTCATGGAAGTTTTTTCCTAGTCAAAATAATACAAAATACATCTTTATCAGAAAATTTTAAAACAAGAATCGGCTAAACAAGTTGTTAGTTTTAGTGGATTTTCCAGAAACCATATATCGATATACACTGTGGGGAAAAAGACCATTCGTGTTTTTTTTCTCACTTCTGTACTATATCAGATTTAATAATTGCTGTTTAAGTCAGTCAGGATAAGTAAAAAAAATTATTTGCTAAATTAAATTATTTTCGAGGGAAACTTTATATTCTACAAAATCCAAAGTTTACACATACTGAGCTTGTTATGCCTTTAAACACTGACAAAGCCCGACATCATGCAAGTTATTTGTCCTATAACCAATCCACTCTGGGGAGAGAATGTTTCAAATTCAAAGTTAAAAGGCCCACAATTATATGATACTACGTGTAAATTCTTGAACTGTAAATGCACGATATAGGGGTTCATTTAAAATGATTTGTGAGGCAATTAGTGTCCAGGTGTCTCAAGTTAAAACATGTTGATAGCTCCCCTGAACAAGCATCAATATGTCTCAAAAGATCTTTTTTTTTTTTTTTTTCATTAAAGATATTTTTTCATGGCAAGAACATCAGAAAGTGGCTGTGGAAACAGAGCCAGCAAAGCCGCAATTGTATCATCCCACTGAAATGCCAAGCACAAACTCTCTGTCAGTGAGCAATTAGTCAGCAGGAGGTCTTGTTCAGATCTGGAACCAGCAGCAGAAGCTCCGAAAGACAACACAGACAAAAAAAAAAAAAAGAAAGAAATAAAAGGCTCCCAACACTTCTGTCAGGATTTTCCGGCTGTTCAATGTTTTGTGTGAAGTGTGGCGGCTCATTCATGGATGGTTCTTAACTTTGATTATTAACATAATTAAGTTTGAATGAAGTCTGTCTGATGACTATGCTTGAAGTAAAACACACTAGTTTGCAATTAAATCACATTATTTTATTTGAATGGCAGCAAAAGAAAATTAATTGTTGCCGAGTAGAATTAGTGGTAATTTATGTGTGACATTTGTTACGAAAGGAATTTGAAAACACAGATCTTGAACAAATGTTTCGTCTTATAGGTACATTCATTATGTGTTTGACTTGGGAAATGGACCGTCGCTAATGAAGGGTAACTCTGACAAGCCTCTCAATGATAACCAATGGCACAACGTGGTGATCTCCCGTGACAGCAACAATGTACATGTACTCAAGATCGATTCCCGTACCGTTACCCAACACACCAACGGAGCCCGAAACCTGGACCTAAAAGGTAAAATGCATGCTGTTTACAACAAAATCCGACTATTTTCATGTTTAATTTGAGATTTAAGTTTGCTAAAAAGCATTTCTGTTCCTTAACTTTGTGTTTTCTAGGGGAGCTGTACATCGGTGGTGTTGGAAAGAGCATGTACAGCAGCCTTCCCAGGTTAATAGCTTCTCGGGAAGGATACAAAGGCTGTCTGGCTTCTGTGGACTTAAATGGAAGGCTCCCTGAGCTGCTAGCGGATGCCCTTCACAAGGTGGGAGAGGTGGAACGAGGCTGCGGAGGTGAGGGCAAAAAAAATCCCAGATCATTTCTGTAAATGGTTTTCTTGTTGTTCAGCTTGGCGTATTAGGGATTAAACCAGAGGGACAGGAGGCCTCTCACTGCACGCTAATTGTTCCCGATTGGTTTTGGAATTGAACAGGTGTCTCAAATATTCCACATTGATTGGGAAGAAAAGAAATTCAGTAAATCTATTTTTTTATTTTAAATGTTGCAGTATTTATCCATGAGGGGATTTTGACTTTTTTTTTTTTTTTTTGTAATTTTTTTACAGTCCAAAAATCTAATCTATAAAAACTGCCTAATAAAATGCTGAGAGACCTGATGAGTGTGGTAATGAGAACTGGGAGTCGTAATCAGGGGAATGTGGTGCAGTTGGGGAAGAAACCATAAGGAAAAACTAAGGAAAGTTGATTAATAAAAACCCAGTGAGCACAAGAGGAGATGAATCAAAACACAGAATAATCTACTAAACAACAGGAGAAGTATTAGTACAAAATAAATATGTCTAAACCAAAATACACCGCGAACAGAACTTAAGAAACAACTTTTAAACTAACAGTTTTCGACAAGATAATCCAAATACAAACACAAGTGATTCCAAAACCATTAGGAACATCTTCAAGTCAGCATCTATGAAGTTCCTCCCTGTGAGAATAACATAAATAGATGTCAATAAGCTCTAGATCTATCTAAATAGAGTTAGAAATTCCCTCATGTAAAATCAGTTTGATAAGTTGTCTTACATATCTTGTGCTTATGCACGCAGCCGCAAGGCTGTGCAGAGACCACTAAAGGGGCAGGTGCTCAAGAAAAATAAAAATAAAATAGCACATCTAACCGCATTCTAG